TGGGACTTGGAAAACTCTTCCTGATCACCATAAGCTTCTGATTAGTGGATTAAGGGTGGGGAAGTATGTACCGCAAGTCAGAACAACTCAGGAGGCATAACTTGATATTCTGGCAAATTTTACCTTCTGGGAAATGTCATTATTTCATAAGCTTTTATTAAAGTATCATACTTCACAATTTCAATAGCTGTCTAACCACAATTTAGAAAGCAAATGTCTATGAATAACTTCTAATTCTAATTTGTTAATTCTCAGGGCATTTTTGAGCTCTCTGTTTTACATTGTCTTTCGAGTATCTGTGAGGAAATCACCAATTTTATAAAAGTAAACTCATAAAGTGGTGACAAATGTCACAATCTTAAGAAAATTATCTCTCCTTGATGTCTTCCAGATTTCTAATCATAAACTGAGTTCATATAAGTCACCGAGACCAGTGGTACAGTCTTCTCTAGCTAGTAGAACAATGCCTTGCAAAATGCCATGTTGGCTTTATTTTTATAGTTTCTTCTCTCCTGTTTTTTCCCCTTTCTGACCTCAGATATGCCATTTATTTGCACTGGAACTGGAAATATTGTATTAAGAAATGACTTTAGAATAAGATTTTGTGTCTATGCCTACTATTTAGGTTCCATCTACTTATTATTCTTAGCTGTCATTCTAATTACTTTGAGTAAAACTCATATTACTACACTTGTCTCAGGAGAAAAGTATTAATATCACATTTTATTTGGAAAATAAATATCTCCCTAGAAAGCCAAAAACTGATTAAAGATTTATTTAGCTACAGTGGGAAATTATTTTAACACCAACTGGAATCCAACAAGAGTGGAAAATATGGTATTAAAGAAGAGTGTAAAAATTGGAAGTATTGGAAGGAAAATGTAAAACTAATCCAGATGGCCTCAAACTCTCCCTTTAAAAAAGGAACCAATAAAAGAAAGAAAAACTTTGGCTAGAGTGATAAAAATAAACAACATTCCCAGAGATTAATATGGGAATTCTGCTTGTTTACATTGTGAGAAAACTCCTGAAACCGGTAAGAGATTTAAGACAAACTAAATCTTTATTTTTGGATACAGTATTTTATTGCTGATGCAGGACAGTGCATATTCTACCCACTTTCTGAACACATTTTCCAACTCTAAATTATTTAAAGTTGAAAGTAGGAAATTAGTATCTGAGTACAATTGTATCAAAATTGTGAATTTCACAAGCTCAAAGATTGCCTTGCTTCTTTGTATGTTTCCAGTCATGCCAATGGCTGCCTGGCCTGGTTGAGTGGGCCAACCATTCCCAAAGCATGTTCTTCAGATTCACAGTATCTGGGATCCTTACACCAACCCAGACTGACTGAATCAGTCAGTGGATGGGGAGGAGGAGGGGAGGGGGAGGGGAGGGGGGAGG